AAGCATTGTTTTTCTGTTGACTTCCTAACTTGCCACCGCCTTTAAAATATGGTTTATACTATCATTTACCCAGCGTTTTAGTCTAGGTTTTATCAGATTGGTTTTGGATTTGGCCGTGTTATAAATATTCCACCAATAAATGTTACTAGGAAAATATTGTTCTCAGGGAATCGAACCAGTAAGCTGGGCCCCGTCTCGCATATCGTTAGCGTGCACGCAAAGGGAGCCGGGAACCAGCTTATCGAACCAGGACCTTCGGAATGACGACCAAACACGTTTACCACAAAGCTATAACAACCCTCTCAGCCGACCAAGCAAGGTGACGAAATGTAAGGTGCTGATATTCTTCACTATATTAAGCATTAATTCAAACCGACACATGCGGAATGGATTCGTAAATTAGATCAATATTCTTCAAACGAAACTATCTTGATATTACTTCAAACGTCTCCCGTCTTCCGGTGATACTCGCCATGTCTGCCTAATGCAACAAGACAGGTACGAAATGAGCTGCTGCAAAGGTACCTTCAAGCTGTTACAGAAATTGTCCACATATACATAGTGATGCGTCGATACGTCTGTCTTAAAGTTCTCTGGCAACAGGGTATCCTACAATCAAGAAAACTAAAGTTGGTGTATTTTTTTATCTAGGCTTGCCTTAGCATCAAATAAATAGAAAAATATAAGGAATTTAATCCATCAATCCACATACATGAATGGAGCGGTGTAAAACTGAAGTATTGAGTCGTGAATCCTGGCGCATCTAAGGGACGCAACTCTACTTCGGTTTATTGTAATGCAACAAAAGGACATAAAGTGTACAGATGATAAATACTGTTCATTTAGAAATAGAAAATAATATTCAGGATATCGACGGACCAGCTGTTTTAGATCACTGATTGATAAAGGCGTGTGTTTAGGAGAGGTAAATAACCGGATGGGATGTAACCGTTTTGAGGGATACCGACAATAATGATGCATTAATAAATATCTAGTCTTCTACTACTAACGGGTGGCGAGGTAGCCTAGTGGGTAACACGTTCGGGCGTCTCACCGAAGGTCCGGGTTCGAGTACCCACATGCATACAAGCCTATATCTTATGTCCCCTGGCCTGATATTGCTAGACTATTATTGCTGAAAGCGCCGTAAAACCTCACTCACCAACTTACAGACAGCCGTCATACTGTTTGAAAAAATTGTGGATGCAGCCTTAAGCAGTGGTAAACATGTCTGCTCGTCACGCCGAAGGCCCGGGTTCGATTTCCCACATGGGCTTCAAGTGTGAAGCGACGTAAACCTTACTAACTCACTCACTCCAGATAAGAGGCAAGATATTCTAGTCTACATGACTGTCGTGTGGGGTGGGGTGGGTGAGGGGGCTAACGGGGGAAGGGGGCGCAATGCTTGGTACCGGTGATCATCGGAACATCGGAATACATACAGACATGTATATATGCAGAGGATGGGAATGTGTTTATGCCTGGCCGACCACGGGAAGTAGAAGCACATGCCTCGGCAGCAGCAGTAACAGCATTACTAATATAGATGCATGTACATCTCCCGAGGACCACATGCCTGGCGTATACTGACTCCCCAGATTCCACCGCACACAGTCACATGGTATTTTATATCACTACGTTTTTTATAGGGGGCGGTCTAGTGGTTGAAGTCTTCACCCAAGGGTACAGTGGGTGGAAGATGTGAGCGTTCTTAGCGTCCCAGGGCTAATGTTACTGGAACTGGGCTAATAGCAGAGCAAAGCCGTTCACAAACATTCGCCTTTACAGGCGCTCGGGGATTCCCGGTTGGAATAGATCCCCAGCTGTCTGTGTTTGTCGTGTAGTCGGTTAAGTTGATCGGGTGGTTTTCTGATCCAGACGTAAATATGTTTGGCCGCTGCCTTTGAATTGGAACGATGCTTAATGCGGCGTAAAACAATATAGAAACACGTGTGTCTACTGATGTATCGAAATTATAGAAACAATGACTGATTGTGAGAAAACATAAAATAACAACTGTTTTATGGTGGATCAAATTCAGATTTTAAATGTTCGTTTTAGCATGGAATGAAGTGAGCAATTCATGAAACGTGAATACTCGTGTAAAAATGTACGTCACCACATGATACGTACATAACCTGTATAGAGGACGGTGTTAATGCAACACTCTCTCTAATCGTGTTTAAAATGCTTTGGGGAAGAATCGGGTTTACGTAGGGTGTGGTAGAGTAGTCAAGTGGGAGATGGACGTGGGTAGTCTGTCTCAAAGTCCCTGAACCATAATTTTCCTACAGCCTAGCCCTCCCTGCAATGCTGAAGCACTAAATGAAGCAAGTCTAGATTCCCCAGGTTGAATCTCTGGTCTCCACGAGGCTCCTTTTAAATTTAAATGGGTTTATTTGTTAGAATCAAATTTATATATATTCAGAAGACTAAGCGTTAGTCTAGGGGGCTGGGTGGACGAGCCAGGTACACCGCAGTGTGTGACGGAAATAGTCGGGTAGGAAACGGAAGGGGGCTGGTTGGAAGGGTGTGAACTACAGCGTGAGATGAGAATAGTCGGTGGGAGACGGGTTAGGTGGAGGTCAGATGGCCTGGGGTGGTGCTGGGTAGATGGATCGGGACAACGGAGCTGCAGGTGCCCTTGTATTGGATGATGAAACCATCAGCTCCACATTCAAGGATACGTGAAATAACTTGCCCAACATTCACCCGTGTTTCCTCAAAGGTGCGCTTTTCTTCCAACTGCTTCTTAATTCCAAACGAGGCTTACGCTATTGTTGTATCTTAGAAGCACCAAAGTTCTATTTTATTACTCTATAACTTAGAGTATTTCATCCAAAATCAAATTCTGTGGTTAAGTACGAACAATACCAATCAATTCAGTTTTAATTATCCATCCCTGAAATTTAGACACAAATGCAGATGAGGCGACCGATACAACTATATCACTCTCGCAGGATTGGTGGGGTAGCCTAGTGGTTAAGGCGTTCGCTCGTCACACCAAAGACCCGGGTTCGATTCCCCATACGGGTACAATGTGTGAAGGCCATTTCTGGTGTCCTCCACCGTGATATTTCTGGAATATTGTTAAAGGGCCGTAAAACTATACTCACTCACTCACTCACTCAAGGGAAACATGCTGAAACCATTTTAATTTTTGATTTCAAGTAAATAACGCTCGTTACACTCTTCACAATTAATTGAAAAAAATTACTTGTAATTCATTTCGTACACCAGGCACCATTTAAACACAAAGTCACAAAAAATACAGCTGTGGAGACCAATGGAGCTATATCACTCACACGAAACCGACTTGATGATCTAAGCCCGTGATCTAAAAACTAAATGAACTTTCTATATGGCAATGAGCTAAAGCACTAGGCTTATATGTACGTGCCTTTCAAGAACCTGTCGTGGTATGTGAAGTGTATATCAGACATTATATCCTGCCCCGTGTGTTTCTGATGTTTATTGATATGCGCCTTCGCACACCACAACGTACAAAATACCTCTCCATTAACCGAATAAGAAAATATACACACTACTACATATCATATAAACCATCTCCGAATGTATTATTGCATACCGACATAGAAACGTTTGGAGTCTGCAGTAATGAGAGCTCCTCCTGCCGGGAGATGTCGGCAGATCACACACAAAAACACAGAGTGTGATAACCTTTGATGTTCACACATGCGTCTTTTGGATATTTTCACAGCTAAACTGGGTCAACTTGACATAAATATAATGGTACCTTGGTGTGAACAATATGTGACGTCATTCATGGTTGTTGACGTCACGAATGCAAAAACGACTTCTGCCATATTTGTTGTTTCTGCACATTTATCATGCCATACATCTTGGGATGTAACAAAACAGTGGTCTGTATTTCTTGAATGTGTTCTGTATACCACGGGGTTTATGTTTCACAGTCGTTCTTACGGCACATACACGCACAATGCATGATAAACTCTAAACAAAACCATTGCCGTTATCTTCCTACCCGACCGAATATTACCAAAATACCATTTTTGTGCCACATCAATTTAATTATTTGTTTGTCAGTTGCTCTGTCCAGGAATTTAGGAACGACATGCTCTTCACACGTTCTTAACCTACTATGCATGATTTCTTTGTTTTTTAACTTATATGATGTAAACATGTCCACCTTTGACCCCAGAGTTGTATGTATATGATGAAGTCATGTTTGAATAAACGGCTTGAATTGAATGGATGTGTCCTTGATCTTCTTTAATGTTCTATGGATAATGTATAATTTGTGACGTAACGTCCAGTTTTGACTTCCTGGTTATAATGCCAGCCAGGAGATAATGACAGTCGGGTTATAATGCTAGTCTCGTTATAATGCCACATGTCCCGCTGGATGATAGGAGGCATTATAACGAGGGAGAACTCCCTTTGTTGTTAAAATGATATGACATTCTGTCCTGACTTAAGTATTGACTAATATATTGTCTTTCAAGCCCGGAAAAAAACCCCGGCGAATTGTTGGTTAAGGACATCGTGTAAAACTGATGGTAACAGGACATATTTTGTCTTTAACAAACATCGACCGCCTCCGTGGTGTAGTGGTTAGACCGTCCGCCCGGAGAGCAGAAGGTCGCGGGTTCAATCCCCGACTGCGTCATACCAAAAGACGTTAAAATATGGTACTTGTTGTTCCCTGCCTGGCGCTCGGCATTAATGGGTACATCAAGGACTGGTCGGCTCGGAATCAGTATAATGTGTCTGAGTGGGGTATTCATGCTTCACTGCGGCATGGTATCACAGTGGGCTAGCACTATAAAACCAGCTTAAGTCTGGGCTAGTACAAGCAACCGCACATACACATACATACGCATGCACGTCGTCATATGAGCGAAATATTCTCAAGCACGACGTTAAACCCAATTCCACCACCACTTTAACAAACATCAGTATTGGGCAAAATCAGTCTCTGTTAATCTTCTCACAAACAACGAGTACACTGCACTTACCTGCTCCTGTCAACCTTGACCCTTCGCATTGTAGGATGACCCTGGAGGTCGGATCCTGACCTTTTCGTCGCCTCCCTGTCCTCAAGGTCACACACATGTCGTTGTAAAGCGCCTCCAGCAGCTTGTACATTGTACACAATCTACTGATGTATATAAGGCTGGCCCTCCACTGGACGTCAACAGCTACTGGTAATCCACGAGTCCCCACGTGACACGAGTCGTCAGCTGCCACATATAGGGGATCAGCAAGACACACAGATGTTGAACTAGACACGACGTCAGGAAGGTTCCTGCTTGAAGGCGAATCTTGTGATTCCACATCGAGATCTGCTTGTTCTTTCGAGTTAGGTTCCTTTTCATGCTGCGTTTCCTTAATAGTTTCTAATCGTGGTAACATTTGTTGAAAATTTTGGATATCGAATGGATTAGTTGAGTCTTTAGTTGGCATTGATAATAGTTCAGTCGCCTGCTGGGCAGTCAGTCTGGTATCAAGGTCAGGGTCAAGGTCAGAGTCAAGGTCAGGGTCAAGGTCAGGGTCAAGATCTGAGGCAAACTCATTCATGCCTTCCAATGTTTCTGTGGGTGAACACGCTTCAGTCGGCTCTCCAAATACATTGTCAAGGTAAAACGCAATGTTAGGAGCTGGTACTTCCTCCTGTACTCCCCAGAAGCTGTGGAGTCTCCACATGTAGAGACAGAGGACACATCAGTTTTGTGAATGTCACTTGCTTCTCCCATGCTCCGACCCTCTGATTCGTCAGGGTCACCGGTCTCACTTCCGGTTAGGCTCGGCGAGAAGCACGGCTCGAACAGGGAGTCAATATAGGTCGTAACAATGTCCAGCTGCTCGTCATTCAAGGCTGAGTCTGTTTCGTGTATTCCTGCAGACAGACATGCTTCCGTGTCCACGATATCATGGCATATTTCAATGTGTAAGGCTTTGCTGGGACCTTTGGTATCTGGAACCGAGTCATCCTTTGAGGATCCGTCAGAGAGACATTTAGTAGAATCAACTGAAGAGTCATTTGTAAAGCCTGCACCTGCATACCTTGCTGATGATGGAGATTTGCTTTCTGTTGCATCCTGCTGTATTGCTTCGTCAGAGGGGCTGATAGTATCTAAAGGCTCACGTGTTAGTCCTTCACAGGTGTCCCTTCCCTGTGGTCGACCATTGATCTCTGTTGGAGAACTACTTACAGTAGAGTTTTCTTTGGCGGCAGAATCATCTGACCTGTCACCAGCTTCAGTACTGCCTCCACCAACACACAACTGATCTATGTCAGAAACTGGGTCATCGTTACTGGCACCAACAGAAACAACTTCCTGTCCCTCGGACGCGCTAGGGACGTCGTTGTGGACACCGTCACTGACAGGCGGTTTTATATGTTCCTTGGTCGCACCTGCCGACTCTGATGGAAGGTAGCAGGGGACAACACTCTCACCTTTGCATGCAGTACTTCCTTGAGCAGCTTCAGCAATGGTATCGTCAGATATCACTGTTACATCCCCACATTCTGTAACAGATGTCCCTGTCAACACACCGTCAGCTGTAACAACATTAACGCTTGAGTCAACGTCAACCCTCAAACCAACAGTTTGCAACACCGCAGGCAATCCAATCGCTGATGACTCTGAACTAATATCCTTTGGTATAACATATGCTAAGTTAGACTCGTCATTGCTATGATTGTATGTTTGAACACATATTCCTAATGACTCCTTCACTAGTGTCTCTGGCTCTATATTCAAACCAGAGCTCACAATATCTTTTCTAACTGATTCTGAAACCGAGTCATTAAATTTCATCACAGGTGATGCTTCCAGACTCACGTGACCTTCACCTTCAGAGGGTAAAGATTTGACTTCCACTGCTTGTATTTGAGTGTATATTTCCTTCTGGACAATGCAGGGTTGAAATGAAACGGGATCCACACTGGACCCGAATTCCTCTTCATCCGAGTGTCTTTCTCCGCGGGATGTGTCAACTGTGGACGATGTTTCAGACTGAGTTGTCCACTCTTTGTTGTCTGATGTTGGTGGACATTGACTGTGTCCTTGTTGGCTGTCTGCAGATGTCTCTTTGCAGATTTCATTTGACTTTGTTGACGTAGTGTCACATTCATCCTGGGATTTACAGCTTGAATTATTTCCATTTGAATCATGACACTGAGTAAGTTGTAGTGTGGAGACGTCATCAGAATATCCACACGGAACTGTCTTGACTGACAGTGTTGCCTGTTCACCCACTGAGTTAGAACCTGTATCAATTTCTAGGTCAACCTGACACAAAGGTAAACTGTTATCATGCTCTGATTTCCCCTTTCCCTTCGCCGTTTGATCGTCTGCTTCAGAGTTTGCTATTCCAGAACTAAAATCAAATTCATCCTCACACTTTACTGGACTTACAGATTCTGAAGATTCGCCGTCAGTGGGAGTCCCTCCTGCAGCGCCAAGTGATTCTGTCAACTCACCATCCACACTAGCAGACGATTTCCGGCGACTCTCCTCGGACGAACTGTTCCGTTTTCCCGCCCTTTTCGCCCGAGTCTTCCTATTCCTCTTGCCAGGCATGTTCTCGAAAATAACCTGTTCGTGTTACAGCAATCTTTCAGACTCAACAGTCAACAGGACATCTTCTCAATACTTTCGAAAGTTGAGTCAAAACTGCACACATCCTACCATCCTACTGTCAGCCTTGACACGACAGTGAAGCGGGTTGTAGCTAGTCTTGCGGGAGTATGCAGGCATATAGAGTATCAGTCCCTCCCGCCACATGTAGGTAACACTTACCTCGAAACGCTGCCTCCGATCTCTACCCCTTCCTCTGTACTTGTGATGGAAGCACGCGTGCGTTAAATGCACATATTCACGATATTTCGTCACCAGTGTTGATTACTGCGGTATATTGCACGCCGGCAGATACAGGAGAAGATATTGAGGGTCTGTGAACACGGAATTTCTCTACAGTTTAATCTCAGCCTGTCTTGTTTCCTGATTAATCCTGGGAGGGCTCTATCGGGCACCTGCTGAAATGAAGCAAAGAATGTCTCTGTATGTATTTACACACCGGAGGAAGATATCTGAAGCTGTGGTAGAATAAAGTCAAACAAACTAACAAAATTAAGAAGCTAACAAGTTATTTAGATATAATCAGAGTCACAGCTTACATGGTGGAGGTTTGTTCCCTCATCTAGGAGATCATAATAACACAGTAAAGTGTTTGGAATCTTTGGCCTAGAATACGACAATTAGAACAGCACATAGAATTCAGAATTCATTTTTACAAACGGCAGCACCAGGCTGGCTGGTTGTCTTGTTGCTTAACGCTGCACCCAGCAATATTCCAGCTATATGGCGGCGGCCTGTAAATAATCAAGTCTGGACCAGACAATCCAGTGATCAATATAATGAACTTGGATCTACGCAATTGGGCTACGAAGGTCAACCAAGTCAGCGTAAGTTGCCTCTTACGACAAGCATGGGTTGCTGAAGATCAATTCTAACCCGGATCTTCACGGTGCTGCAACACTAGGATTACATAGGCCTTGAAGTGGAAATACAATATAATATAGCATGATATAAAATATATATAACACATTTAACTTAATATACTGGACAGAATAAGTTAGGGATATTGGTATTTTTATGATTGATATTTTATCAGTGTGTCAATGAATAAATAGATCATTATTCATAATTTCAAACTTTATATATATGCCTAACTAGCTTTGTCCAGTATAGATCTGTTCTTCCGGTATGTTTAAATTTATATAAATCTGATTTTATTTGGAGGTTGGGGTATGCAGAAAATACCTATAATATGAGTGAATGAGTATCCTTTATGTTTTTGTGTAGCACTATACTCGGCAGTGTTCAAACTATAAGACTAGGCAGTGTTCAAACTATAAGACTCGGCAGTGTTCAAACTATAAGACTAGGCAGTGTTCAAACTATAAGACTAGGCAGTGTTCAAACTATAAGACTAGGCAGTGTTCAAACTATAAGACTCGGCAGTGTTCAAACTATAAGACTAGGCAGTGTTCAAACTATAAGACTAGGCAGTGTTCAAACTATAAGACTAGGCAGTGTTCAAACTATAAGACTCGGCAGTGTTCAAACTATAAGACTCGGCAGTGTTCAAACTATAAGACTCGGCAGTGTTCAAACTATAAGACTAGGCAGTGCTCAAACTGTAAGACCCGGCAGTGCTCAAACTATAAGACAAGGCAGTGTTCAAACTATAAGACGGCGCCGGGTAAAAACGCGCGTCTGGACCACACCGACCAGTAATTCATATCATGAGCATTGATCTACGTAATGGGGATACGATGACATGTGTCAACCAAGTCACCAAGTTTAACCACCCGATCTCGTTAGTCGCCTCTTATCACCAGCTTGAATCTTCACAGGGTCTCACTAATTGTCAATTAATCTCGCATATATGTGTCGCAGTTGACAAATCATCGTTAAAATAAACAACAGCACATAAATTCAAGCACATATGTTAAATATTTTGAGTTTTGTCCATGCTTCAATAGTACTCGTGGTTACCGAGCCTGAAGACCCGACCAAGGACAAGTAGAGGTTGCTGAAGACGAATTCTAACCCCAAGAGTACATATTGTTTTGCTTTGTCACCAGGGTGCCGTTGTATAAAGCAACCTCAGCGCTACGCCAGTCGTACGTCTATGTCAAGGTATTGGAGTTACGATCACCTTAGCGCTACGACTCCCGTGCGTCTATGTTAAGGTACGGTAGTTACGATCACCTTAGCGCTACGACTCCCGTGCGTCTATGTTAAGGTACGGTAGTTACGATCATCTTAGCGCTAAGACTCCCGTGCGTCTATGTTAAGGTACGGTAGTTACGATCACCTTAGCGCTACGGCTCCAGTGCGTCTATGTTAAGGTACGGTAGTTACGATCACCTTAGCGCTACGACTCCCGTGCGTCTATGTTAAGGTACGGTAGTTACGATCACCTTAGCGCTACGACTCCCGTGCGTCTATGTTAAGGTACGGTAGTTACGATCACCTTAGCGCTACGACTCCCGTGCGTCTATGTTAAGGTACGGTAGTTACGATCACCTTAGCGCTACGACTCCCGTGCGTCTATGTTAAGGTACGGTAGTTACGATCACCTTAGCGCTACGACTCCCGTGCGTCTATATTAAGGTACGGTAGTTACGATCACCTTAGCGCTACGACTCCCGTGCGTCTATGTTAAGGTACGGTAGTTACGATCACCTTAGCGCTACGACTCCCGTGCGTCTATATTAAGGTACGGTAGTTACGATCACCTTAGCGCTACGACTCCCGTGCGTCTATATTAAGGTGCGGTAGTTACGATCACCTTAGCGCTAAGATCGTTGAGTACAACTGCACCCAGGACAGTGGTGACATGAGTACAAGGTGATTATTTATGTTTTCCTCCAGTGCCATATCATCATGGCTGCCGTGCGATCCACTCACCACGGGGGCCGCGGTGGGGTGGCCTAGTGGTCAAAGCGTTGGCTCGTCACACCGAAGACCTGGATTCAATTCCCCATATGGGTACAATGTGTGAAGCCCATTTCTGGTGTCCCCCGTCGTGATATTGCTGGAATATTGCTACAAGCGGCGTAAAACTAAACTCACTCACTCCCCACGGATGGTCGACACATAATATAACAGCAGAAAGATACTTAACCTTGAACGTCTATGCGAGTGTAGTTCTGTCTGTATCGTCCATTACCCGCGTGGTAGCCCTGTTTCTAACGGTTTGATCAGACGT